TGTCCCCGCACCCCACAGGCGCAGTCCACATGGCGGCGCTCCGCCCCTAAAACAGTTGTCCTCCCCTAAAACAGTCGTCACCAGGGGCATCAGGAACGACCCAGCTGGGGACCCAGTGCAGGGCTCTGGGGACAGCTCCCTCCCTGGGGCCCTCTCTAGGCCCTGGCCTGCCTGGGAGCTCACCAGAGCGCAGGTTGGTCATGGTGGAGGGCAGCTGGAGGTAGGCGGGGTTGTGGGTGGTGACCCCAATCTCGATGGAGCCGGCCCACTTGTCCACCATCTTGTCGATGCGCACCTGGAACACCTCTCCGTCCCGCAGGGCCCGACTGCTCAGCACCACGCCGTGGTTGAAGTCATCAGTGGCACTGAGGACAGCGAATGGGGACTCAGGCGTGAACCTGTGCTCCGAGCATGCCCAAGCTTAGCCCAGCGGTGCCTGCCTGACACCCACTGCTCGAAGTCAACCAGAGAAACTCCGTTCTCCGCGAGGCTCCACACTCGCCCATCCCAAGCTCCCCAGGTCAGAATCCCTCTGCCTCCTGCTTCTCCACCCCCCGCCCCCCAATCCCATCAGATCCCCTTCTGCAGGCTTCTCCCCACCCCATGGGCCATACTGGGGCCTCAGGGCAGTGCGTCCCTCGTGGGTGATAGCTGCTTTCTGCCCGCAGTTGGGGTGGAAAAGCAGGCGCTCGGGCTCAGCCTGCGCGGTGGGGGCGGCGCGGCGGAGGGCCCCCTCCGGAGACAGTGCCCGCAGGATGGCATTGTTCCGGCGCAGGCGGTCGCTGTGGTTGTTGTTATGGACGATGGTCACCTTCACAGCCATCCCATACAAGTCCACAACACCGTACACCACTGGGGGCGTCAGTGGGGTAGCCACACCTGGGTGGGGGGAAAGTGGGGGGACCAGCATCAAAGAGAGGCAGAATGAGGAGGTCCGGAGCCCCCACCCCCAAAAGCCGGGGCTGGTGGCCCACTCTGGGCGTCCCCTCACCCTGGTCAATGCCATTAATGAAGAAGTGTAGGGCAGAGTTGGACTTCCTCGTGAGGCCAATGTGGTCACCTTCCTACCCAGAGGAGAAAAACAAAGGTCTCAAATGCATTCCCCCTTCAGGCTCCAGGCTTGTCCTCCCGCCCAGGCCGCGGGGGAACAGCTGCAAAGATGCCACAGTCCCGAGCCCCCAGAACCTTCCCGGCTCCCGGCGGGAAGCCACCTTATAAATAAATGTCACCTCGCCCACCTCTCCAAGCAGTTTACAAAATGCTAACGGGCTCAGCTAAGACATTAGAAGAAAACGGAAAAAAAAAAATACGCCCTACCACCGACAACTCTCGAGCTTCTCACCTCGGGTCACTGCCCCACAGCCACACGGTGAGAGAGAGTGACCCCCCCGACTCCCCAGATCTGCAAGCCTAACCATTGGCCAACCCCACCTTCTCAAAAAGAAACTTCAGACGAGAGAGCAGAGGCCTTGCTCTAGGCCGCAGCAGAGACCGTGCGGCCTGGGCAGGGAAGTGAGAGATAGGGTCGCCCCAGAGATGGGCCCCCACGCTGCACCCTGCCCCCCCTCACCTGCAGCTCGTCCAGACTGAACTCACAGTACTCCCGGCGAGTGCCCTTGCCGTTGGTCAGGATCCCGCAGCCGCTCATCATGATGGTGCCTAGAGAAAGGGGGGACTGCCCAGCTAGAGCTCCTGCGGCCCTCGCCAGAGGAAGGGGCCTCCGCTCTGCCGGGGACTGGTACCTGACTGCAGGTTGGTCATGGTGGCTGGGTACTCAAGGTTGTTGGGGTTGTGGGTGGTGACACCGATCTCAATGGAGCCCGACCACTTGTCTACGAGCTTGTCAATGCGGATCTTGGGGGGAGTGACAGCAGGAAGGGGGAGATGTGGTGGGTAAATGCCGAGAAGGGACCCTCAGACTGTTCTCTGCACCCCCCACCCCCACCCCCACCACTGTCAAGGATCAAGCCCGTCTTTGGGTCCCAGAGGGCGGGGTGCAGCTAGCACCCGGCAGCTCACACACCTCGAACATCTCGTTGTCCCGCAGGGGACGGTTGGTCATGACCACCCCATTGTTGAACTCATCCAGGGGCCGTCGGCGCTCAGCGGTCTTATTGTTGTTGCTTAGTTTGATGAGCGTCCCGCACTTCTCGTGAAAGAGCAGGGCATCGTTGGAAGTGAGGACGGGCGAGGTGGCGGCACCGCCAGACCCCAGTCCTTCCCCTGCCGGCGGGGAGCTCAGGTTCACATTTAGGAGCCCCCCCGTTGTAGGCAGACAGGATGGCGTTGCCCACCACCTCGGAGAGCTCCATGCTGGCAAAGTCTGCGGCAGTGGGATGGGGGGGGGAAGCTGGAATGAGGCGCTACCTCCTCAGGCTCACCACTCTCCCCCTAGCCTTCTCCTGAGGCCCCTCCCCTCGCCTCGTCCACCTCACTTCCCGCTCCCCTGCCCGAAGCCTCCCAGAAGCCCTCACCATTATGCGACTCAAGGCTGTTAGGAAACGTCTCCGGCCGGGCCTGCGCTGGGGACACCATGAAGGCTGGGGACCAGGAGGGATGGGAGGGGAATAAGGGTTCAGCCCCTGCTGCAGGGCCCACAGCCAGGAGACCCCCCCTCCTCTCCCTAGCCCCTGCTTTCCCCTTCAACAGACTGGGGCGGGGGGAGTCTGAGTGACCCTGCTCACACCCAGCCTCTTTGCCACTTTGTCTCTCCGGTTCCTTCAGCCACTCCCTCTGCCCCACCTCTCCACCACTGCCCTGTGTTCTCACCTTCATCCCCGGAGGTCCCCTGTTCGGTCAAGGCAGAATCTTCAGGGGGCGCGGAAGGCTCGAGGGGAGGTGTGGGAATGGGAGTAGGGGGGCTGAAACCTGGCTCAGGGGGCAGCACGGTGATCTGGGTGCACTTGCCATAAAGGTCCACGACGGCCCAGACACGAGCAGGAAGGCCCGTGGCGGCCACCCCGCAATCCCGCCCGTTCACCCAGAGCCGCAGCTCCCCCGCAGCTGTGCGCTCCACGCCCACACGGTCCCCTTCCCCAAGCTGGTCCAGGTCCTGCCCATACTCCTCCAGCACAGAACGTCCGTCCCTCAACACCGAGCAGCCTGACACCACCCATGAGCCCCCCTTCAGCCCCGTGGCGCTGCTGGGGAAGTCCAGTATGCTGGGGTCCAGTGCCGTCACCCCGATCTCGATGGAGCCACTCCAGGAGTTGACCTGTGATAAGGGCGGTGGACAGAGGCTCAGGATGGGCCCCCATGGGTCTCCCACCACTAGGAACCCACGTGTCCCAGACCACCGTGTCCCCCTCTTCCCACATCTCCCGGCAACTAACTGGCTTTTCTCTCTGGAGACTGAAGCAGTGGTCTCCGAGACTCCTCAGCCACCAGGTTCCCAGCTTTTCACGCCCACACTCCCTACTCTGGGGTCCCACTCCCCTCCCCACGAGGAGTCTCTCCTAGGCCCCGCTGCACTCACGTTCCTCCTCTTCCCCACCCCACCTCTGCTCACCTGGCCTCTTCACCAATTCACACACAGCGCACACACCTCCCTCTCCCCGCGTCTCTCTTCACCCATCCTTCCGCGGGAGCGTATCCGCCAGTGGTTAGTCCTTCCCTGCTTCTCCCCTCCCTTCCCATCACATCCCTGACATCCCTCCATCCTCCACCTCCCGGGGCGATCCCAGGAGATCTGGTCCCTACCCGTTCCCGGGGACGAAGTCCGGCGTCCCTGCCCTGCCCCTGGGTCTTGAGGAAACGCCAGCTGTCTTCGTCCCTTTCCCCGTGAGAGCGAACGTTTCTGCTCCGTGCTCCCTTCCCGCCCGTCGCCCGGTGCCCGGTGCCTCGCAGGTCGGTGCCCTCTCGGCAGCCGGCGATGCGAGCCAACCTGGCTGTCCGGCCCGTGTCTGCCGCTCGCCCCCTCCCACCAGCCTTCCCCTATCTCGGTTCCGCTGGCCCCGCTCCGCACCTTGCGGTCGATGCGGACGGTGAAGACGCGTCCATCGCGCAAGGGCTCCCGGCTCAACACCAGCCCGTGGTTAAACTCCTGGCCCGGCTGCTGCCGCCGCGCGGTACGCCCACAGGCCGACAGGCTCACCAGGCGCCCAGTTCGCGGGTGCAGCTCCCCGCCGCTGCCCAGACCTCCGCCGGACCCCGGCCCTGCGCCGCTCCCGCCAGGGCCCCCACCCCCACCCGGCCCCGGCCCGGGGCCTCCCCCAGAGCCCCCACTCCCACCCGACCCCGCCGCCATTGCCGCTGACACCGGGGCCGCGCGACAGCCGCGCTTGGCGGCACCGTGGCAACCGCGGTGCACAGACACCCGGAGGGAAGAGGACTCGGGGCTGGGGCCAGGTATGCTTTACGGCACTGCCGGGCGACGGCGCATCCCCGGCTGGGGAATTAATGACCACCGCGGTGGGAACGGAAGGACAACGGGGTCGGGCGGGCTTGCTTTACGGCACGGCGAGGTGACGGAGTGGGCCCGACAGCCGTGCAGACGGGGGCAGGGAGCGTTTGCGACAGCGGTAGAAACGACGGCCGCAGGCGTCTTTACGACGCAGGAGATGCAGGCCCGCCCCACTCCTTCAGCTTTGCGACAGCGGCCCCGCCGGCCCCGCCCTCGCCGAGGCAGGCGACTCCTAGAGATAGTCGCTTTCCGGCGAGGGGGGAGCAGGCGTCCCCTCCGTTGCGCCTTCTGCGGGCGGGAGCGTGGCGTCCGTGGGATTCGGAGAAGAGACCCTGTAGTTTTACGCATGAAAACCTCGGCCCCCCGCACCCCGAGAGCGCACGTTTCGCGACAGTGTCGCCACGCCTCCACTTGGTCTCTTCCCTCTCGTGAGAGGCAAAGCGGGCCAGCTTGCGGGGATACACGGGCCCGCGGCATTTCTAAGGAAGCCCACCTTGAACTCCCATCCAGCCAAACCCTTAAGTCGTAAGGCCGCGGACAGAGTCCAGCAAAACCCTGGCTGGCGGTCTCCGGCGACGGCTGACGGTCTGCCCCCAAACCCCAGCTCTGAGCGAGCTCCCGGCCCGACCCCGAGCTCGCGCGGAGGTGGGAGGGCTGTGACGTCACAACCAGGCTTCTTGGCCCGGGACAAGGACCCTGATTGTGATTGGATAATGCGGATGAAGGCGGTGATGGGGAAGAAGGGCGGGAACAAATCCCAGAGACAAAGAAAGAAGGCCTTTGGGTGGGACGCAAAGGGAGGGGCCCCGGCGCGAGGTCCCTCTATAAAGCTTGATTCCGGGGCCGCGGCTTTAGGGATCAGAGCGGAAGGACACCCGGGCCTCGGCCCGACGGTCCCCAGCCGGCCGTGGTGGGGGCGGGGCCGCGGGGCGGGGCCAAGTGGAACCGGGAGGCGGGGCGGGGCCGCTTAGAGCGGCCCCCGGGTGGGGCCATGGAGAGGCCGGAGGCTCTGGGGGCTGCTGGCGGCCTCCGCGGGGAATCCCCGGGAGCGGCACCGAAGGGTGTGCCAGAAGGAATCGGAGCGGGCGAGGCCGACGCCGGGCCGCCGTCCGGGGTGGTCCCGTCTCAGGGTTCTGGGCCCTCCCCGCACTCCGGGGAAATCGTAACTTGCGCTCCTAGTTCTAGCCGGCCCACCGGGGGGGGTAGCTGTCCTCGGTTCGGGGCCCCACCGGCACCCGGGGGAGGTTGCGGGCCTCAGCGCCGGGTCCGGGACACACCCTGACGGATTACATGCCCCCTTCCCTGAAGCCAGTGTGTGCGGGACCTGCAGCCCCGGGTCGGGGGGCTCTGGGGTGTACAGCTGGGAATGCAGTCCATCGCGCTCCGGGTCAACCTGCTTGAACCTCCACAAACCTTGTGAGGACTGGCCCCGCAGCATCCTAAAGACCAGCACCACCATCCTGATGCAGAAATCCCTCGGCGCTGAGAAGTACGGAATCCAGCGCGCCGGGTTCCCGGCGCCGAGCCCTGAGCGAGGGGTGCCGGACACTGGCAGGGGCGGAGCTCGGGAGGGGGTGGAGTCCCGACAACCTGGAAGCCGGGGCGGCCGAGGGCCATTGGGTGGGAAACCCGAGGTTCCGGGCCTTGTGGAGAGCAGCGGGTGCCGGGTCCACGCTGGCTACACAGTGCGTGCAGATCATTAGGTGTAATCCCGATCCCCAGGCTCCTCTGCCTCGGACACAACGAGAGGGTACAAGGAAAAGGTTTTGAATGACTGAAGGAATGAGGGAGGGTTGTAAGGAGGAGGTCGCCGGGAGGTGGTCTCCCCGTTTTTTGTGTCCTTCCCCTACTCCAGGAAAAAGGCCCAGCGGTGGGATGAAATGAACATCCTGGCCACCTACCACCCCGCTGACAAGAATTACGGGTTTATGAAGGTGGACGAGCCCAGCACCCCCTACCACAGGTGTGGAGCACTCAGCCCTAGTCTTCAGCCCAGACCCTTTGCTATTCAAAGGGGGTCTGGGGAGGCAGAGAGGTCTCAGGGACTGGATACTGCCTGGTGCCCCGCCTCTCAGCCCTGTTCCCTCCCTCTGCTGCAGGCTGCAGGACAGCGATGAGGACATGCCTGGGGCGGTCTCTCACACAGTGACTCCCCAGGCGCTGGCCGAAAGGTGAGAGGCCCACCCGAGATCAGTAGGGATGTGGGGCCTCTTCCTTCCTCCACCCCTGGGGTCAGAGCCCCCTCTGCTTTTTGGCCACCAGAATGGGAGGTACTTCAATTCCTATCAGGACCGACCAAGGCCAAGGTGGGAGAGAGCCAGCCAGCAAGGCCCCATCTACCACCTGCACCCCTTGTCCTCTCCCCTTGAGTGCCAACTAGTCTCCCTCCCCTTCAGGTTTGCAACAATGGACAATTTCTACCCCAAGGTCCTGCGGTACCATAATAACAGAAGCTCAGAGTCTTCAGACGTCTTTTCCAAGACACGTGAGATGAGGGGTCGGGGCTGAGTGGAAAAGGGAGGCAGAGTGAACCCTCGGCAGGAGCCTGGCAGGAAAGCCCAGCTCTTATGGCCCACAGACTCCAGTGATTTTGACAAGCACCGAAAGTCACACTACGATGAGGGAAAGTTCCTCATGGCTCAGAAAAGCCTTCCCTTCAGTAAGAACAAGCCCTGCCATGGGGCTCACTCCAGTCTGGGCAGCGGCGGTCAGGTCATGGAGCCCAGGCCTGTGGAGAGAGGCCGGATGGGAGGACTGACCGGAGAAGTCCAAGATGAGATTGGTCTGGTGACCAGGAACCATGTCCCAGAAGTCAAGGGTTAGCATGGGCCTTGAGAGGGAGGTGATGGGAGGCAAGCCCAGGGAAGACAGAAAGCAGCTGGGGGCGTCTGGGTGGCTCAGTGGGTTAAAACCTCTGCCTTTGGCTCAGGTCATGGTCCCAGGGTTCTGGGATCGAGCCCCACATCGGGCTCTCTGCTTGGCAGGGAGCCTGCTTTCCTTCCTCTCTCTCTGCCTGCCTCTCTGCCTACTTGTGATCTCTGTCTGTCCAATAAATAAATAAAATCTTTAAATTAAAAAAAAAGAAAGAAAGCAGCTGGGGTGGGGTCCTCAGCACAACCCTCAGGAAGCCCGAGAAAGGCGTGGGGGATGGAGAGCTCACTGGGGTTTCCTAACGTGGGAGGAGGGCATAGAATGGAGATGAGAACCCAGGGCCTGAGCTTCTCCCCTGTGCAGGGGGGGCTCTTATGGACACCTGTGGATCCCTGGATGCCCCAGGCAGCCAGAAGACTCAGCGTGATTGGGATGACTCCTCAGATCCCCCTACCTTCAGAAACCTGCCCCTGCCTTCAGCCACCGTCGTGTGGGACCAGGACATTGATCGGCAGCGCAAGGAGTATTATAGCAAGGGAAGGTATCTCAGATGCTCTCCCCACCCAGAGCTTGAGGAGGACACAGAAGACGAGCCCGAGCAGCGGGACAGTGAGAGCTGGGCGGGGTCAGCCCGGGGCAGGGGGTGCCGACAACCAACAGACTTGAGGGGTGCCCCAACCTTGACCCCCTGATCCTGCCAGGCTCTGCACGTTTTAACTGGGTGATTGAGAGTCCCACAGGCACTGAGGTCCGTCTACTGGAGCACACAGGAAGCCCCGTTCAGGATCCCCAGGCTTCCGAAGAGTCCCTGGCAGGGACATCGCAGCCTGGTGAGGGCACTGGGCCACAAGGCCTGGCTCTTGGCCAGCTCCCATCCCCCCAGCCGCCCTTCTTTGCATACCGGGGTAGATCGCAACAGATGCCAAGAGCGGCCTCAAGCATCCTGGTGTGCAAGGCCCAAGTGGTACAGAGAGGAACTGGGGAGGCTCCAAAGGGACAGGGACCCCCTCTAGCTTGGGACTACCCGCTGGCCCCACGCCTCCTCCCTGACTCCTCTCTGCCACTCACCACATTGCAGGGGCTACCCTGTCCTCCAAAGACCGAGCAGAGTCAGACTGGTGTCAGTGGGTGATATCCAAGGGGCTCAACTGGCAAAGCCCAGAAAGCTTGAAGAAGGAACTTGGAAGCAGCCCACACTCTCCACACCAAAACCAGTGCAAATGTGAGCGCGGGCAGGGGCGAGGGGCTGCCTGTGCCGGCCAGGGAGGGAGAGGGCCTGAGTGGGTAGCTTCTATGGAGTTTCAGGAGGGCAGGGGCCGGATCTCCCACCTGTTACAAGACAGCCAGTGACCCATTCCTTTCTCCGTCCAGACGAAACCCTGCGGATTGGATGGACACAGGAGGAGGAAAGCAGACAATGAAAACCGTAGCCAGCCTGGGATGGGATGGGGGCCAGCGTCTCCCAGGTCTCACCCCTTCCAGGTGGACAATAAAGAGAAGTGCAGGAGCCTGGGTGCTGTGACTCGTTCATGGAGGACGGGCTTGCTCAGTCACCGAGGACAGGGGAGGAGGGAGGGACCTCCGCACACAGGAAACCACATCGAGCAGAGCAGAGAAGAAAGCTGGGAGCAGCCTGGCGGACTAGAGTCAGCAAGGGCCTTCGAGGCCCAGAAGCAGGGCTGCAGCAGGGGGACGCTGCTTGGTGTGGCTCAACCAACCTTATTTGTACCATCGTTAGCATCTTTAGTTCTTCCAACAAGCCCGGGGGCTGGGGGGGCCATCATCCCCACCTTCCAGATGAGCTAACCTGAGGAATCAACGAGCTTGCCCAGGCTCCCTCCGAGAGACAGAATCAGGACTTGAGCCTATATCTGCCAGCCCCCTCAACCCCCGTGTCCCCCAAGGAGAAAGGCAGGGGGCCCAGGGCTCCCAGGAGGAAGGGGACAGCCGAGTCTCAGTGGGCGGGGCTGTGGCTTCTCTGCCTGGTCCCGCCTCTGCCCCTCCCGGCGCAGCCAGCAAGTGTGAAGTGAGAGGTCCTCCTTGGACACCCCTTACCCTTGGAGAAGGAATTGCGCGCCCCCCCGACAGGCTCTTCCCCAGGAGAGGACCCCCTCCTCCTTCCTCATCAACCCCTCCAGGGGCAGGGAGCGTCTCCACTGTGTACCCCTGCCCGTCAGGCCCAAGACAAGACGAGCTGAGATGACCGTCAAGCTGGATTTCGAGGAGTGTCTCAAGGACTCGCCCCGTTTCCGGTAAGTGTGCACAGGTCTGGGGGGACACAGGGGGGTGAGGTCCGACCCCCCTAACACACACACACAGCCACCACGCACACAGCACACAGCCTTCCCCAGGCCAGATGTCCTTCCAGGGGACAAGTTCACAAAGGGACAAGATCAAACTCGAGGGCCAGAGTAGCCCCTCCACTAGGCGACCCCGGGCTCTGATGCTCTGCAACCCCTTTCGGGGCAGAGGGGGCCGCTCCAGCCCATCTTCCCCCGAGAGCTGACACTCTCTCCTCCCGTCCTTGGGACCCCTGCCCCTCCCCCAGCACCTGCTGGGGCGGTTAGCAACTTCCTGCCTGGGCCACATCCACCCTCCCATTACCCTTCCTGCTTGGCCTGGGCCCCACGAGCTCCCACGCTACGCAGAGGGAGAGAGCCCAAGAGGGCAGGTGGTCAGGTCCCCTTCACCCATCAGTTTTTCTGTCTGTCCCATTACGCACTAACCCCAACGCCAGCCTTCCTGGGGGGCCCAGACCCAATGCACCCAGACTCTGTTCCCGTGACCCCGTGCCTCTCTTCCCAGAGCCTCCATCGAGCTGGTGGAAGCCGAGGTGTCAGAACTGGAGACCCGGCTGGAAAAGGTGACAGGGGAGAGGCAACCCAGGATGGCATTAAGATGAGAGGGGCGGGCTGGGGAGAAGAGTGGAGACTCCCAACGAGTTCTGAGCGTTGTTGAATGCTAACCATGTGGGCTGAATACTGTGGGGGCCACAGAGAAGGAGGTGGGAGCTCTGTACCCCCAAGGAGCACAGGGTCTTGGAAGACCAGACTCCCTGTGGGCTTCCTGGGTCAGCTGCAAGCCCAGCCTTCCCCTGGGCTCTGGGCCTCCAGACACAGAGACGGCAAGATGTTTGCCCCCGGGCAGCCCACAGACGGCCTTGGGGAGATAAACCAGTGAGTGAGACACTTAAACCTCAGACAGGAAGGCCATTCCGGGCCACTTTTCATAAAATGGGGCACACTCCCTACTCCCTCCCCGGCTTGGTTTTTCTCTGTAGCATTCACCCCACTCTCCCATGGGATCTTTATTTGCTGCATTTGCTTTCTGCTGCCCCCTGATGAGTCGCTGCAAAGGGAGGGAGTGATGGAACCCAGCCTGTACCTGTTAGCACAGTGTCTGAGGCTCAGGATGGGGGCTCGGCCCTTCTGGTCCTCTGCTCAGGGGCTCACGGGCTACAGTCCCACCTGAGGCACAGGGTTCCCCTCCAAGCTCCTGAGGGCGTCTGCAGACTCCAGGGCCTTGCCCGGGCAGCCCTGAGATCTCCTCCTGCTCACAGCTGCCCCCGGTCCCCTGCCATGTGGTCCTGGCCCTGGGCAGCTCACGTCATGGCATCCAAGGCCCGCGGGAGGGTCTCTCCAGTGTGTGCTGCCAAGGTGACATCAATTTGGATGGAAATGCAGCCACAGGAGCCGCGGGTGGCTGTCCCCTCCCTCTGCCACATGGCATGACCATGTGGAGCACTGTCTTGTGCCTTTGGCCATTTTCCGTTGGGGTAGGATCAAGTTGCGTGTCTCACATTGGTGGGGGGTGATGCAAGGGAGGGGACCATCCAGGGTCATCTGAGAGCATGTCTGTCACCCTTACCAATTTGCATTCTTTTTTTTTTTTTTTAAGATTTTATGTATTTATTTGTGGGAGAGAGAGAGCGAGAGCGAGCGAGCATGAGAAGAAGAAGGGTCAGAGGGAGAAGTCGACTCCCTGCCAAGCAGGGAGCCTGATGCGGGACTCAGTCACAGGACCCCAGGATCATGACCTGAGCCAAAGGCAGTCGCTTAACCCACTGAGCCACCCAGGCACCTGCCAATATGTGTTCTTGTTTGTTTTCCCCTGATAGAACGTAAGTGACATGAAGAACTTTTATGTTCTGTGTTTGCTCAGTCCTCAGTGCCTATCCCACAGTCTGAAAGTTAGCCAACCACCAATTAATAGATAACATATTTTTATATATAATTTTTAAAATTTTTTTTACAGATTTATTTATTTTAGCAATAGAGTGCCTACGAGCAGGGGAGTGGGAGAGAGAGATTCTCAGGCCAACTCCTCGCTGAATGTGGACCCTCTCCTCTCCCCCTCCCCACCCATATGGGACTCAGTCTCTCAACCCTGAGATCATGACCTGAGTCGAAATCAAGAATCACACGCTTAAGTGACTGAACCACCCAGGAGCCGCTAAGCCTTTCTGAGTTAATTACAGACTTGCAAGAAGTTGCAAAGATAGCATGAGGAGGTCCCATGTACCCATCACCCAGCTTCCCCCAGGGCTGGCCTCTTGTATAAGGCTAGTATGTTACCAAACCAGGAAAGTGATGAGGGCATGACGCAAGGAACTGCCTAGAGAACTTACTTGGATTCTACCCATTTTGCATATACAGTTGACCTTTGAAAAACCGGAGGGTTAGAGGCGCTGACCCTCCATGCTGTCAAAAATTTACATATAATTCCTGACTCCCCAAAAACTTTACTGATAGCCCGCATTGATCAATCATGGAAACAGTCTATGAACATGCATTTCGTGTGTATCATATGTAACATATACTGTTTTTACAATAAAGGGAGCTAGAGGAAAGTGTTATCAAGAAAGTCAGAAGGAAGAGGGGTACCTGGTAGGGTCAGTCCAGAGAGCATGCAACCCTGGATCTCCGGGTCATGAATGCAAGCCACATGTTGGGTGGGGCACCTGGGTGGCTCAGTCAGTGAAGCTGGGATCTGGTCATGATCCCAGGGTCCCAGGATCGAGTCCCACATGGGGCTCCCTGCTTAGAGGAGAATTTGCTTCTCCCTCTGCCTCTCCTCTCAGCCCCGCTCGTGTTCCTTCTCTCTCAAATAAATAAATAAAATCTTAAAAAAAAAAAAGCCACATGTTAGATGTAGAGCTTACTTAAAAAAATAATAAACAAAATTTTCAAAACAATGAATCATAAGGAAGAAAAAATACATTTACAGTACTGTACTGTGTTTATCAAAAAAGTTCACTTAGAAGTGGACCAGCGCAGTTCAAACCCATGTTCAAGATCGATTGTGCTCTTTCTTTCAAAAAGTCTTTGTCTGTAATTCAGTGGCATTTAATCACATGCATAGGTTCTTGTAACCAGAATCACAGTCAAAACACAAAAATCGGGGCGCCTGGGTAGCTCATTGGGTTAAGCGTCTGCCTTCGGCTCAGGTCATGATCTCAGGGTCCTGGGATCGAGCCTCACATCTACCTCTGGGCAGAGTGTGGTGTCTGCTTAGGATTCTCTCCCTCCCTCTGCCTCTGCCCCTCCACCCCTCATGTGCTCTCTCTCTCTCTCTCAAGGAAGGAAGGAAGGCAGGAAGGGAAGGGGGGGGGAAGGGCACAAAACTCTACCACCAAAAGGGACTCTTCAGTGCAGCCCTTTGTCCTGCTACCCTCGCCTGCCTTCTGTCACCCCCAGCAAGCTCTTATCTGTTCTTCTCCAGACTTTTGCCATTTCTAGAATGTTCCATAAGTGCAATCGCCCATTATGTGGCTTTGTGGCTTCTCTCTTTTTCTT